TTGAAAGAACTCAAACCAACTCGGCATTAACGACTACAATAGTTATTTGCCACCATGAAAAAGAAAAGGGAGAATTCTACTGAAAAAAAAAACAGTACCATATTGTCATATATAATTTTTTAGGGTTATTGTACAATTCTCCATGTCCAATTTTTTGGGTTTAGAATAAATCTTAAAGTGTGCTAATCCGACAACAGATATTTAGTTAAATAATACTCTTTGTTTTATGAAAGTTTTACTCTTTTGAGATTAAGGGGTTAACTCTCTTTCCGTTTCTCCTTCTCCAAAATTAAATAAAAGGTGTGCTAATCCCAAAAGTTTATAATTGATCACCAAAAAAACTATAATTTGACCTAAGAAGTTTTGTTTTTTCAGAATAATATAAGGGTCAATACTATTTTTTTTTTGTTTAAATTAACACAAAAAAATTATATTTTAAGCCATAAAAATTATGAATTTTGATATTGTATCTTGTTCGATACCCAAGTTTCACAACAAAAGTTTTGTTTCAAGAGCACGAGGAAGGCTGCTTAAAAAGAGCATGAGGAAGAATACTTAAATTTATAATTTTTTGAGGTCAAGTTGTAATTTTTTGAAGTAGAAATTACAATTGAAAAAGGCATGATCGATCATAAAATCTCATGTTCAATCATGAAAGTTAAAATTTTTAAGGTCAAAGTTTACACTTTTTAAAGATATAATTACAACTGATTAGGGATGTTAATGATCGATTATAATATTTCATAATCGATTATAGAGTGATCTCAACTAGTTGTAAGTTCACATTAAAAACGTATATCATCTATATATATATATATCTATACTACTATAAAATGTCAACAAAATTGAAAAAATTTTATTTGACTATTTTGCCCTTGAACATTCTTATAAAGTTCATCATATCATCTCATCTCATCTCTTTTCATTTTCTCCATTTAATTACATAATACTCTCAAATCCTTTCATCGTCTTTAATTAATTATGTGCATAAAGTTAACATTTAATTATATTCATTTTAGTTTTAATTCCCTACTTTTCCTTAACCAATCTTAATATATGTACTAATAATATAGTCCATACTACTAATAAAAATATACTAATCAAAAAAGTATTTTGTTTCCTAATTTTTCCACTACAAATTTTATAAAGTTTATTTTGTAAGTTTTTTAAACTTGTAATAATTATTTATACCACGATAAAATGTCAACTATAATGAAAAACTTTTCAATTCTTATTATATCATATCTCATTCTATTATGTAATTTTTAGACTTTTCTTATTCTAAGAATACACATTCAATTGCTCTTAACTCACATACCCTTACATTCTATCTGTATTTAATACATAACATTTATATGATACAAATTCTTCACAATCAATATGTCAATCGAGCAGAATTTCAATCATTTTCATCTTCTCTGTTTTTGGCTTCATTCACAACATAACAAAGTCTATTCATTGGTATTATTCAATACGCAATGAATGTTAGCAAGTAATTGGAAGTTAGATCATTCCATGCTCACTTATGCTCCACCAATGCTAGCATGTGTTATCTTGCAGTTCATTCATCTGGTGGTGGGTGTGTACTCTCCTTTATGTGGTGGTGTGAGAATTGCTTGCAAGGCTATCATTGGCCTCTTTGAAAATTTTATTATTATGTCAGATGCACTCAAGTTCGATGGCAGAGGTAAATCATAAATGTGGTGCTTCTTAATTTGTGAACCAGTGTGTTCATTTACAGAAAAGGAGTTTGGAATTGACATCTTCAAATTGATTTTCTAGAATTGATATCCTCCCTATCATGTGCATTACATAAACTCGGTGTATTCAATTTCATTTGTATTAGGTTAACCTCTTATGTAGTATTGAAACTTATTTTGCACCTTAGCCTTACATTCCATGGGCAAAAAACTTTACGTAGGTCTTCATGATGATATTGGATGGTTGCAAAGAGATCCTCAAATGGCTCATGTGGAAAATGGTTCAATTAGCTAGATCCATAATTGCTATAAGGGATAAGGTACCGAATCTTACTTTTGATAATATTTAGTTTATCATTTAAATAGGGCGACAAAATCTTAATTTGTATGTAATAGGTATTCTATGGGTCATGTATTCTATGAGATTTTCATAAAGCATATATGAGGGTTCTTGTCGTTTGGTTAATTAAATAAGAAAATTGCAAAAATGAAGCTCTTGGTGGTGGTCATTCCTATTGTTTTCTATCATCAGAATTGTTGTTTAATGACTTTTAAGGTGGTTTGTTCCAGCTTACCTTGAAATAAGTATTCGTTTAACAGTTATCAATTGTTGATGTTGCGCAATTGCATTTTGAATGAGCAATACTATACAACTTATAAATAAATGTTGGATTTGTATGAGGTTAGTTAATTTTCTTCTATAATTACATGTGCATTTGACACAAGTTAAGTTCATTGCTTTATTTGGACAGCATAAGAATCATGCATTTGTCATTGTAATTATTAAGATGAGCCTTGACATATATTTTTGTGTGCCCTTGGTTTATCAAATAAATGATTTTGTGTTCTAAATATTATAAGGAGGCTTTCCACTGAGTTACAAATTTCATGCATAGCATTAGAAAAGAAGTTTGGTGGTTCATTCTCAGTTATCACTTATAAGGCAACTGTTGTGAAGTATTTCACATAAGGTCATTCTTTTAAACAATATTACGAGTCAAAGAATTCATAAATGAATATTAAATGCTAAATTGGTATTCGACAAAGCAATTAGAACTACATAATGCAATCGCTAAAACTCCAAGAAAAAAATTAAAATAATAATACCTACAAAAATGTTGTTGCCTATATTATTATAGAAAATTGTATCCCAACAAAAAAAAATTATAATTATAATTTAAATTATTCACGTGCAATGCACGTGTGTATCAACTAATTCTCTCAAAAAATAATAATTTTTACAGTAATACTACACTGACCAAATTTTGGGACCAAATTAAGAGTCCAAATGACATGACAACTGACTTAGGCTTTTTTATTTGGTGTCATGTCATTTGGGCCCCAATAAAGACTCTAAATAATATGTTGTTATATCATTTAAACTCTTAATTTAGTCCTCAAATTTGATTAACGTAACATTACCGTAAATTTTGATACAATTTAGTTGGATCAGACATAGTATTAAGTTTACCGAGACTACGATGACGGCAATTGTAATGATTTATTTTATTTTTATCAAATTATAGTGCTCTGTATTCTATCTTTATTGTTGTATAGAATTTATGTTTTGTTGTATAATATTTATTTCCTAAACAACATACACATAAGCATAGATTCTAAACTCACATTTTTAATGTTAAAAGTGTTTTGTAAAACTCGATTCAAAGTTTTTTTTTTTTAACTAAAGGTATGTATTACAAATAAACTTTAACATTGAACAAAAAAAAAAGGTGTTTTAAACTATACTTTTGTGTGATCATTAATGGTTGGAAAATAGATTACAAAAACAGTTAAAATAAAAAGGTAGACTGAAGGAAAAAAAAAAAAAAAAACAACATCATTAAACTGTCAAGCATTGTAATCTTGTTCTGAGAGTGCATTCATTCCGGAGACATTACAAGACTCATGTGATTAGGATGAAATTGTATTATTCATGCAAACTCTTAAATGAATGATGCGATCGAATTCCAATGACGTGATTTTAAAATTCGACCATTCGGTTGAATTTTACCCAATAAAATTGAACCCAACATCGACAATCCAGCTCCAATGCTCAGGGAATTACATATAGCTTAGAACCCTGTTGTGACCATGTTCTCTCACTCTGGTTTTTCTTTTTGTTTTTTTGGTTGGTCAGATACTATTATAAGGGGGAAGGACGACAAAGTTTGAAACTGCAACCTTAAGATTCAACACCGTGCATAGACTTTAGACCAACCGTTAACCTCAAGGTTGTTATCATAGCAATGTGATCCAATTGCTAACCACCACTTGAATGGGAAAAGTCATATAAGTGTCATGGGACTGTTGATGATAGGGCACGAGGTGATCATGGGTTGGGCTGAGATTTGGGCCTAGACCAATCGTCCATAGCTAATCACACATTTATGTTGGCATCGGAAGCGACCTAGCCTTGGGCATGTGTACCTACTCTAAGCCTTAGGCTTGGGTCAATCTTACAGCCCAAGCCCAATGTGGCCCAACCAACTAAATTTAACGAATTCAATATTGAAATCAACAAAAAACATAAATAACTGATTTTTGGCCTGACAAATGTGACGACTTGGATGTCTATAGTAGTCAAAATGTGAAAAACTAAAACTCGAAAGCAGTTGCAGTATGATTGAAGTATGAGTTTAGCAATTTCAATCTTTCAGTAATGAATCGAAAGTCGGGAATTTGGTTTAAAGTATATAAATCGATCATCCTTTTTTGTACTGAAAGAGATACCCAACCCGAAGGGTTAATTCCCTAGCAGTAGGATTAGCTTCTCGAGAATGTATCCTAAGGTTCGTTTTTTTTTCTCATAGCTTAATAAAGAAAGCTAAAACAGCTAATAATGCAAGAGCTCTTTTCACCTTATACTCTCTAAAAAAAGGTATGTCAGGTTTTTTGGACCCTATGTTGAGTACGAGTTCCAAATCTTCCCAAAAAAAAAAAAAGAGAAAAGTGGAAATACCAAACATCCCTTTCAGTGTGACTGGTTTTAATAGAACAATCTTTTATGAAAACAATCATTTCGGGATCAGTCCATGGGCCAAATTTTGCAGTCTAGGCGCCCAAAAATCTGATTCAACTTATCGACCCATGGCCCACCCCTGGTGAAGGGGCTTTTATGTTTGTGTGCATCCTTTCGCAATCATATCTGTACACAAAATGCTGTGTTTACCAGTTTTTTTAAATCAAATTTTACTTGCCACCTTTTGAGATGAGATTACAACACGAGGTTATAATCTTCTGAGATAAAGTAATCAATTTTATGACACTCAAAAAGACTCGAATGCACTTGAACCAATCTTACCACTGAGAGAGAGTGTGCGTATGTGTACAACGGCTGTCAGCAATTGAACTATATTTCTAAAAACTTAAGTGATTAAATAGAGAAAATTTAGGGACCAAATCAAAATGTTTCTCAAACTATAGGTATGGTTGTGTAATAGACCCTAAAATGGAACTACATGAATTTGCAGCGTCATGATTACACCGAAGGCAGGCAGAGTGGTTCAATCAAGGATAGGCAATGTTTTTCAATCGACAAAACTCAAACAGATCACCAAGAAAACATGAGAGAGAACCAAGATAAAAAGGAAACCTTTATTACCTGCCAATATCTTCATCCGGATTCCTTGCATGTTAAAGGGAAGACTAAGGCTCATATTGTCAATCATCGACCGCCTATTCAACTTTCGACTTAGATATGAATGAAAAGAAAAAAGGAATCATACTCGAGCTTTACTTAGTCTGACAGCTGATCAGAAGGAATATGACCAAAAATATCACGACAGGAATCCCAGTTTCCCTTTTCTCTTGCCTCCCAATAACCACCAACATATCGGTAGGTATCACTACCTTTGTCCTTTTCAAACCAGCATGGTTTCCAGCCACTCTCTTGCATTTTACGCGCCTGAATTCAAATAATTGAATATTTCGTAAGTTACGATAAGGTCAAGTAACCTTTTACGCACATTATGAATGCAGAAATCAACAACACAATAGTAATGATGGCAAAGTGACTTGTTCTGAAGGGTCAATGTACAGTGATACTTTACCCAAACCACAATACAATTTCATAATAGACCTATGGCAATAGTCAAGAAAATTACAGGAAGAAAATCACTCGTAATAGATTGCTAATAAATGACCATGATCTTCGGTGGAACGTGTTCACCCTACAAACCATTCTTAACCTACTAACTCAAAGCTTCTCCCCCAAAGTTCAAAGCTAGGAGTTTGGAGCTTCCTATTCCTACTGTAGGGCTAAGTTTGAAGCACTCGCCTTCAGAAGTTCTCCAATTCAACTATCAAGTTTCTCAAAGGGGCTTTATTAATGAATCACTTACATCTAAAAAAAATTAGTAAACTCACTCCACGCAACTGGTTGCAAGAATAGAGAACTTGTCAAGTGCTCAACACATCAAGAAAATGGCAACACTAGCACTACCCAACTGTCAATGGACCGGATTTTGGCCTGAAATTCAATCCAATCCAAATTCGTTTAACTAGATATGGATCAAATTTTAATTCATTTATCCGATCCGATCACAATCTCTTTAAATCTAAAATGGATTTGGATTTAGATATATTAATCAAATTAGATAAGTACCCAATCCAATTTATACTATATTTATGTATGTGTGTGTGTATATTGAAATTACCTTCTCCCATCTCTTACAATCCCTAGCAACCCTCTTACCTAATACTCACCCCCTTCTTTCCCTCTCTCTTCTATCTCTACAACTCTCTCCTTTTTTCTTTTTCTCTCTTTAATGCTCCTCTTTCTCTCTTACTACTACTATGTCCCTCTCTCTCTTCCAATTTCATTTGCTTAGAACCACTTTCTCACTCTTGCATTATTTCCATCATTCACTCTCCCACACATCTGTTCTCACCTTCTCTCTTTGGCTTTGGCAAAGAAAACAGGATTGGGCCCTCTAAGGTTTTTTTGTCTCACGTTGCCCCACTGGTGAGGTTTTGGCATAGTATCAATCAAATTAACAGCAAAATGTGTGAAAATTCATTGGCAAACCCTAAGATTTTGGTTGCCAATTTAACCCACATTTTTGAATATGAAGAAAAATTAGGCTCCATCTTTTAAGATTTGATTCCTTTCTCTTTCCCCCCCCCCCCCCCCTTTTTGTTATTAAATTAGTTTCATAATTGATAAAATTGAGATGAAATTAAACTAAAATTGTTGGAATTGAGTGATTTATTGATAAAATTATGCTGAAACTTGAGCTAAAATTTGGTGAATTTTTTTTCTTAATTGAGGTAATTTTTGTTGGAATTCATTTGATTTGGATCAGATTGGATCTCTAATTATTTAACAAATTCGAAATCTACTAGAATTGTAATATCCGTTGAATATACAAAGCGAATTCAGACTCAAAATTTTTGATTCGGATTCAGATCAATTGAGATCCGGTCAGGATTCGATCCATTGAGAGGCATACCTACACACTTAAATGCTGGGTAAAGTTTAATTGCCATCACAGCAACAAAACAACATATGACTAACCTGCCGCTGCCGCTGCTCTAGCCGCAGCTTCTCTGAATTTGCCATTTCAAACTCTCCATTTTCCAGGCACCTTTGATCTGGTCTCAGCCTTGAATCAGTTGGTGGCAGCTTTTCCTGTGAAAGAAAAGACTGAAAAAATTAATAGGCCGATGACTTGCAAGAATTACTCAAGAGAGGTTAAGCAACCATGGAGATTAAAACCATTCCATCCATACCACTGAGATTCAGATTACATTCATTTAATATGTACAAAAGATCTTTTGTTACAACTGGTTTATCACCAACCATTTAAGAGATGACTCCTATATCTTTGACCATTTATATGCCCTTTTAATTACCACGCCAACCAATAACTAATTTATATATTCAGTTTCAATAGTGAGTCAAAAAATAAGCACAATTACCTTTAGTCCAGGTGTGAGTTCATTCAATGTGATAGCAAAGCGGGTGAAGTTATATCTAGTGGGGAACTTGGGAGGCCTACTCCGCTTCCAGAGCAAATGTGCTTCAGATAAATATTCAAACCCTCTTCCTTTTCCAGAGCAGTCTCCATTCATGTAATGGATGCTCTCATCCCATTTCCCAAAAACAGTTGCCACTGTCTTCCCATTCCGGTCTTGGACAATGCCTTGCACCTGCAAAATAAATCACTGTGTTTCAAATGCTAATTCCCCAGGATTTTAGAACCCGAGAAGAAATGCACATGCTGGTGTTTGTGCTCAGGTGTGGCCATTAGGTCATTTCCAGTTTTCTTCCTTTTATATAAACTTTTTTTCCCAATGACAGTTCCTGGCCAGATACTTCAGGCACCTGACAACAAATAGTCAGGCAGGTTCATCTACAAGCCAGTACTCCAAGAAGTCATTTTAGCCTTCATCATATTAAAATTAAGAAAGAGGAAGAAATGAGGTTTTCCTAAACCCCATAATGTCCTTAATTAATAAATAATGACAAAAAAAAAAACGAACATATCAATTAATTGCATTAAAAAGACCAAAAATTTGACTTCAAGTGTAAGAAGCTATACCGTGTTCACAGGAATTCCAAACTTCAGGGTGGTCTGGCCCATTCCTCAAAAGAAGTTTTTATGTGATCCCATGTTTCGGGTCTTTTAGTTTCAAGGATTATAGTAATTGGACAAATTATGTTAAGTGTGTTAAGGAAGAATAGCAAGTAATGATATAACATAAAAGGATTTCTGGAAGGCTTCAAATTTCAGAAATTAGAAAAAAGGAAGAAACCAAACTAAGAAAAGCTCAGGAACCATCCTCACAACTCACAGAATAAAGACAAGGAAGGAAGAAAAAAGAAACAGTCTAGAGACCACTCCCCTGACCCATGGTCATCACACAATTAGTAAAAAGCATCATTGCTGGAAAGTTTCTCTAAAATTGGTCTCTGCTGGGAATCGAATACCTTACAAAGCTATATACTCAAACAAGACTTGTCCCAACTATTTGTAGTCAGCTACAGTAATACTTAATGTCGTCGTGCTATTTCAAGGGCCTATTTTCTGTTAAACCATAGTCTATTATATATTTTCCTTACTATAATTTTGGTCTCCCTCTATTCCACACATTACGCTCTAAGTATCACACCATGTTCATAACTAAATTTATCTAAAGATAAAACTGACGCACCACATATTAATGTGTTTCACTCATGAAGCCAATGGCACATATTAATATCCTTCAGACATCTAAGTAGGACTCGGATTTGAAAAATAAACCACCCAGCATTAGAGAAAATGATCCATTCTGATGTGTATCACAGCTAAAATGATACATCCTACATAAATCATGGGACGAATTATAATACGAATGCTACATTTCCAACAAGAACTGGATGGAGGGAGAGAGACAGAGAGAAGATGCACCTGGTGAGGATTTCTCTCTATGATAGATTGTTCTTTGAATTTCAGCTTACATGAATAGTTGCCATTACCCTGTATACGCATTGTACCATAGTGATCGCAGTATAGCTTTCCCAAAATAAGATTGTATATCGATGTTGTGACCTGACAGAACAAAGTTAATTTTTCAGTGTGAAACCTAACAAAGAGAGAGAGAATGTTTAGGGTGAAACCTAACAAAGAGAAACAAATACCCAACCACTTGGGTGATACCTTACTCCATTGGAAAATTTCCCCATCATCAAATTCCAAAGTCAAAACACCAACAGGATCAATTTGAATAGCACGACCCCAAAATTTGCTTTTCAGATTGCTATCTCCCCAAAATTTCCAGCCTGTGCCCTCACAGTGGCATGCTACAATCATTGGGTGATGACTGACCTGGTTCAAAGGAACAGCAATTTTAACTATTTGATTCTTACGGAATTCAATAAAGAACGCCAGATATCTTGTTGGGTTTTTTATTGTTTGTTGTGTTTTTTTTTCTTTTGGGGGACCAAAGAAAGCTCGCCACATTTAATTCAATGTAAAGGATACTTTCAAACACAATTGACCATGCCATATCTGCACATACATGAAAGCATCAACTTTTAAGTCGTAGCATGAGCTGGAGGCCAAATGATAAGTAGCAACCTATGTTCCGTTCCACAAAATTCAAGGGCATAACATGGACAAAAGGCTGCTTTCACAGTTTCAGTACCCATCTCCCTTGTAACCTAATTATGATTATGTATCCTCATTCTCATTCTTCAATAAGCCTTCTATGAAGAGCCCCTAAATGAGATTGAAATCAATTCTATCACTAGAAGTCTCTTTTATTGTCCAATGTCCCTATCATCACTTTGTTCACAAACTTAAAGAATGTTAGAGTTGTGTACGTGACAAATTAGATGTACATTATGTGTTCTTTTTCATAAAAGAGGAAGTAACAAAAAATTTCAGGGTTTTGCTAAATGTAAAAAGAAATACAATAGGAACAATCATTAAAACAAAATTAAGGTCAAACAATTATCAAAAAAGAAAACAGAAAAGATGAAGGCAAGAACAAATATGCCAGTAATGTTGGTCCATGCTAGTTGAGGTAGCAGGAAAGGGATAGGTGGACAGTGGACAGAGGTAAAACCTTTGACAACCAAAATTATGGCTCAGAGAGTAGAAATGAAACAATTAAATTGCCATATAACAACCATTCAGGAATTGCAAGGCCGTAATTGCATTCATATCATGTAAGGTTCTAATAGTCTTAACACCTATCTCAGTAGATCATGGATTTCTTTAAGATGACAAATTCATAGAAATATACTATCAATCTAAGTTACAGAAATGGTTGTTAAATTTGTTTGTGCTTCATTTCTGGCTCTGTCATTGCAAGGAAAGCACTGATTTTATCACCTTGAAAGCTAATCTAAAACAACTTAAGTGCAGTAATACTGTGGTATTGGATATGGGGAAAAAAGGAAGGGATTCCTATCCTTTGTCCCCTAGGTTGTATGTATTTTGATCGAACTAATTTTTATTGCTCATTCTACATCCTTTCAATAACCCCAAATCAATCGACTTTCATCCATAATCCAAAAATTCAACGGTCATCAGGTTAGCTCCTTGCAGTTGACAGAAATGATCAAGATCGATGAATAAAACATGTATTCTGTGGAATGTACTAAATATCAAAGGAATAATCTACCATTGCTTCAAGTGTAAAAATGGCACCTTCTCAGAGAAAAAACGGAGACCTTTATCAGGATAGTCAGCCTCATAAGTCTCCCCCAGTAATGGATTAAATGGTTTGCAACTTCTTCCATCAGTAGAAGCATAACCAGATACTGCAAATGCGGCTACATTTAGAATCCTCATAAGGCTGTTACCCTAGCAAAAATGTAATCAAGAAGGATTAGAATTTAGCAAAGTCACTTGAGCTACTCCAGTCATCAAAATAAGTCAATAATGGGAGTGACTCATCCAACTGCAACATTGGATTTAAAGGCTTTCCCTGTGAATTAATGATGAAAAGGCTCCCGCTCAAAAGTCCCAAACATTCTGACCAAAAAAAAGAGTCTCAAACACACGACCATGCACAAAATTTTATAATCACTTGTGTCACAGTTATATTCAAGAGAGATGATCATATCATTTTAGTGATGATGCCGATGAAGATAATCATGAAGATGAATACAATAAAATAATAATAATAATAAAATTTCCACAAATCCATTCACCCTAAAAAGAGAGCTAATATATTAACATAACCTGAAAGGGAACTTGATAAAGGAATGCAGCAAAACAGTGGATGGGGAATGGTTTTAAATAACGGAAACCAATGTTCTAAAGGTAGTGGTAATGGTGTACCGAATGTAACAGGTGTTACCTAACGAGTGTTAGAGCATCAAACTCCTGCTATGACTTCAGGTAACAGAATTATAAGAATCCTATATGATTGAGGACTTACAGAAATATTATCCTTTTTTGAGATTTTTGACACACTTATATGGGATGCCTAATAATCTGAAAATGCTTTATTCATTTGATTATCGATTTTCTTTTCTTTTTCTCATTTTTCTTTCTACGGGTTTTTTTTTTTTCCTTTTAGGGGTGTTGGGGGGGGGGGGGGGGGGGGTTGATGGTGTTCACGTTCCCATGGCCATTATAATCCTGGCATATAACAGCACATCAATATGCATTACCAAGCTATCTTGCATCGCCTAAAAATATGTTTGAATAAAAAGTAGCATCTCTTTTGGGCGAGTCTGTAAAATCAAGGTACAAGCAAAATACCTTACGTCAAACGAATGGAGATAAAATATGTGCAGGTGCAAAAACAAGACAATTCACATAATATAGGTATGTAATACACAAAGAAGTAATCCAAGATCTTAGTAGGGACTCACCGTTTTCCCCCATTCATATGCCCGGTCAAGCAGATAAGAATACTCCAAATCTTCAAAACATTTTTGCAAAGAAGAGACAGGTTCATTGAAGTACACAGGAAGGCAAACTTTCGTGAGGTCCTTCCCAATATTATCCTTAATCATCGACCACAGACTTACTCCCTTCTCTTTTTCAGCAGGATCAGGCAATTTCTTGCGACGTTTGACATAAGGGAAGTTAGTTCCAGCAGATCTAATGGAAGGGTCACTTCCATCTTCAGATTCAAATGCATACAGTCCATCATCATCTGATGAAAAAGACGATGTCCGAAAATCAGACCCATTGCTTTTGAAAGAACTTGATGAGAGAAAATCACGGGTATCAAAGAAAGCATTGTCTTCATCATCTGTTTCTTCCTCCGCAGCATCGGCTCTTTCATTGTCATCATCAGATTCACTTGCACTCGCACTTGCTTCTGGAAGAAATGTTCAAATACATGATAGTCATTGAGAAAGACAGTGTAAACAAATCTTAGGAACCAACAACCAAGTAGTATCAATACACATTCGTTTCCACTTTCGCATTTCTGTTTCTCATTATCTTTCCTCAATAGCGGTAATTCACATCAATTACAACAGAATAGAGAACCATTTTCAGTAGTAAGAAATGATTTAGTGCATATAAAAAAGAACCTTCGAAGAAAAAAAGAATACAATCATCAGTGGTACCAAGCTGATGGATCTTCACTATGCATTGCCATCTCAAACTACTGCTGTCAGGATTGATGATAGAATAACTAAAAGCTGTTAATTCTATCCTATTAAGGTATAAATTTACTTACATTTGGATTTTCATCCTTTGTTGCTTGCAACGAATTGACCATAGTTATTTTGTGGTTATCGAACCCAAGAAGCATATCTTAGTACCAAAATCTAGATGTTCAGTAAGTTTGTTAAAATTTGTTCAAAATTCGTTTTTGCTCTTATTCTTACCAAAATCCATGTTGATACCAAAATTTGTTAAGATTTTAGCAAATTTTAAAATGCTGCTTTAAAATTTTAACAAATAAGCTCATTTTAAACGTCATTTTAAAATTTCATATAGACGTGATAAGGGTAAGATACAACACGTATACAATAATAAGACAAATTTTTTTTAAAAAAAATACGATGATACTATGACCACAATACATCTATAAAATAATATTTTGTATATTTTTACTCTTATCTGACAACTTCATAATTATAATTTTTCTCAGATTCTTTCATAACAGCGCAAAAAATTTGCAATTTTTGCTTTCAAATGGGTATATAGATCATTTCATTATGGTGTTTCCACAAAGTGAATTGTGACTCATGAAAGAAATCGAAGCCAACCTTTAACTAGATGTTTTGTATAGAAGTACTTGTTGAAAAGAGATACGATATAATTAACTCATTTTATGATCTTTTAACATTTGATCGTAGATAATTCTCAAGAAACACTCGTGTGTTCAAAATTAAGTGAATTTTATGTGTTATATTGTTTGTTAATCCGAGAGGAAAGAGTAAAGATGAAAATAAACAATTCACTTCCATATCCGAAGCATATTGGATACGTATACGCAATGTATCCCAATATTTTAATTACTATTCGATACGTTGGTGCACATCCAATAGGTATTCTCGAGTATTAGACGACTATCATATCCAATATGATATTCAATACGGATACGTCAACCTTAATTGAATTTCTATACTTCATAGGCTGCATCAGTTTAGGCTAGAATTACAATAGATATTCATAATTGTTGATGTAATTCCTTTTTTTTTTTTTTTGATTACTTATTTAGATTCTCATAAAGTGAGAGTAGTAGGATTTATCTACAAAGAGTCTTTACCCAATTTGGTCTCTTTCAATCAACAGAGCTGGGACCGATAGACTATGTATAGTAGACCTAATTCTTGGCATAATTTTTACACAAAGAAGTTGTCCTTGGATCCAAGGCACAACCTCACGGTTGTTAGCCTAACACTTCTCCAGTGTACACGACAATCAACCCTTGATTTCTCTATGTACAATAAGTTATTGTAGTAAGATTATTGTTATGGATTATTATTATAGTTTCGGAGAAGATAAAGATAAAAGAGGACAAATAGAAAGAACTAAGAGGGATAATCTATTTATAGGCTCTGCTTTCCTACACCCTCTTATTTATAATAAAGATTGGGTGATCACGAAACTAGCCTACACTAACTTAGTATGACTAATACATAAAAGAAGAAGTCTTAACATGATGTAGTTAGAAAGTTCAGTGGATTACTGGTATGCAAACATACTATTCTAGTACAATTTGTTTGAAGGACTTTGATTTTATTAGCTCATGCTTCCAAATGTTTATAGGCATATAACTGTGACCAAGAATAGCATACAACTTGTTGCTCTTATTCTGGTTTTTTTTTTCTTCTGTGAGTTACATTTAATGGTTGCTAGTAATTTTTTGTCTCCTTTTTCCATTTTCCTATTTAGAGTTATACATTTAGTTTCTTTCAGAATCTCCAAGAAGTTATTTGAGGATTGCTTATAAATCTTTGTCCGACAAAGAGGATTGACCACATCTCTGACTTACATCAGTGACAAATGAGATTATTGAACAAGTTGACCAACTACACATAAATTTATCTTTTCTCAAAAATTCTGAATAAATCAGGGCATCCATGTCAATCCATAATTAACTGAACCCTAGATTCCGAAACAATCCAAGTACCCATTTATTTTCAGTTTAGACTCCAGACAACAAAATAACAAAAAATAGTGTCGTAAGTCCTTTTACACAGTTTGACAATTAGAGCCTGACATTGTCATCTAATATGAAAAAAGAGTAAGGGTGGAGAACTATGATGGATACAGATACGGCGATAAAACAAAACCTAAAATAGTAGGATACGACCACTAGCGAAGGGACATTAGGGTCGGGGGGGCTAGGCCCACCTTAAATTTTGGAATTTTTTTTTATTTATATACATATATCACTTTGTTAAATATTTTTTAAAATAATTTTAGTGTGCCCACCCTAATATTTTTATAGAAGCTAACACAAAATGACTGAGCATGTTACAGACACGCTTCAGACATGTTTAAAAATATTTTGGACATATTGAAACTCATTTTGTGATTTTTTTTTTCAAAAAAATACGAGGTTCTTTAAATATTGTATCAAAAAATGGATTATTTTGTAAGTATATAACATGTTCAGAAAATAAAGTTAAAAAAAAAACATTTGAACTTGAAACAATTCACGTCTAAAAATTGTAATCTTATGAGATTACTCGCATAAAATGAAAACAAAGAAGAGTCTTAGAAAGTTAGAGAGAAACGAAAAGACAAAAATACACAATTGGTGACGGCGGAGCAAGCCTCATGCAAGCTATTTCCAACCTTTATATGAAATCCCATGAGGCAATAACAATGTTGTCCATGACTTTTTTGCTAATTTTCACTCATGATTCTTCCCTGACAATTTTTTCCCCCTAAACTATGAGCTTCAACCAGCCTTTTAATTTCTTATTTAGTGTATTTTATTGTGGTAGAGCTTTCTGTGATTGATATATTTTCGAATATAATTTATGATTTTCTTTGTATATACTCTTAATTTAAGCTTGAAATCACTTGTAAGTGGCCTACAATTAATTTTTAAATTTATCATTATATTGTGTCGATTTGGAAAATATTAATTAAATTTAGGACTTGAAGTGCCCACCCTCAACTAAATTCCTGAGTCCGCAAATTCAATGAAGCAACAACTAATACCATAGAGAAGCGGCCATAAACTAGAGAGTCTTAACCAATTTGAATGATTATTTGATGTAGTTGAAATAACTGAATTCCCGAATATAATTAGGATACGTCTATAATAAAATATATTTCATATTTTACTATTTTCTACTAACTTAATAATTATATATTTTGGTAATTGTTTAATATAATACGAAAAATTAGCAATTTTTTCTAGTGTCAAAAGAGTATATATCATATCTTTATGGTGTATTCACAAAATGAAGTGACTAATTAAAGGAATCAAAACCAATATTTACTTAATTGATTTGTTTAGGAGTATTTGTTACTAAGATTATAATGTAATGGATTCATTTTATGCTCTTTTAACATGTAATAGTAAATAATACTTAAAAAATACTCATGTGACTTCAAAGTAGTATGAATGTTTTTTTTTTTTTTATGTATTATATGGTATGTGAATTTGAAAAGAGATGTTAAAGATTAAATTCAAAAATTATACATGTTGCTCAAATACAAAAGTATTTGTGAAGTATCCAAATATTTTATTATTATCAGATATATTAGAGGTATATCTGATACGTATCTTTGATTATCCGCCAAGGATTGTATTCGATATGAGTACGCCGACCTCAATCAAGTGTCTATGTTTTATAGGTGCAGAATGTCGCTTTCAGATCCTAACCACTGTGCAAGATCACGGGGTGAGAGTTGTAGTTTTATACAATGAAGTGGTTTCCAATGTCCATTAGATAAGGGGATGATAAGCCGAGAACTAACAAAAATGTTCCCTCTATATAATTTGTCTTGAAATATTCAATTTTCCATTCAAAACTCACTCTTCAAAACAATTTTGGATGTCCAGAGGGACAATGGTAAGGGAAAGGCATACCTAGTGACAAATGAGAATGGCACACAAAGGTATGCCCTTACAAATTGGCACACAAAGGAATGCGCTTACAAATTCAACAATCAACAAACAATTCAAAAAAATTGAAAACAAATTTCAACTAATGCTAAATCAAGAAGAATGAAGCTGAACTCAAACAACTACTAATCACACTTAATTCTTCAAGAATTGGAGATTGGACATTTTAAGCATTTCTATCGGTTTAATTCACTTCTCCCAACAACTAAACAAAGAGCAAAGGTAAATAACTAACAACAATCAAGCGCAAAAATCCAGGCTGAGATGCACCATTACCAAGTCATATGGCCTAATACAATGAACAGTTGACTGTAATAAATTGAAGAATAATTTGCATCATACCACTCTATTTGTCTTCCCTTAATCACAAAATCCGGGTATGAACTTATAAATTCAACAATCAATTCAAACAATTTGCAAAGGATTTCAGTAATATCTTCCCACTAATGCTAAATCAAGAAGAATGAAGCTGAACTGAAATATCTACTAATCTCACTTAATTCTTCTAGAATGGGGAGATTGATGTGACATTTTAAGCATTTCTGTCAGTTTAATTCATTTCTCCCAACAACTAAACAAATAGCAAAGGTAAATTGCTGACAACAATCAAACGCAAAAAACCAGGCGGAGATTTACCATTACCAAGTCATATAGCCTTATAAAAAAACAGTTGCCTATAAAAAAAATTTAAAAAATGATTAGCATCATACCACTATATTTGTCTTGCCTTAATCTAGAAGTTGCCCCTACATCTTTCAATTGTCTCTGGCTCTCATCAACCACAGTATTCTCCAGATCAACCTTTTCTGTCTACAAGACACAGCAAAAAATAATAGTTCCTTAGTAGACTTGAAAAGTATATCAGAAAGAGTACCTCATACAAGAAGTTTTACCCAAACAATATATGAAAATATACATGTGAAAATGACTAAGTGACCAACACTTGGAATACACATGAGAAGGTTAAATACCAACATACAGACGTATTTTGCAGAGAAAAAAAATGACACAAAAAATAATAATTCTGGTATTCTTGTTGGTAGGTACGATTGAACTGCTTATAGACCAGCTAAAAATTTGGTAAGTAACATGTTAGTATATGACCAAGCAAAACATAGCACACATGCCTCTCCACTGGTAAAAAAACACAATTCTCACAAGGGAGAAAATAACATACATAAAGAGAAGTGTTTTATGGAAGAGTTCAAGAGTTCGAACCATCCAAAACAACATAGAAGATGGTAGGAACATAAAAAGAAAATAATGAAATTAAACCATAAAGAAAATTGGAAATCATGGAAAAAGCAGAATACTACTACAGTCTACAACGGCTTGAAGTGATATCCAATGCATGGAGCAGGATCACAGACAGATTAAGTAGAGGCACTACTACTATCATCCAGGGGGGAAAAAAAGGTCCCATTCCATATTGTATTTAGACAAGTGTCGGTCTATAAAATTTGTTAAAATGGAATTGATTTGCAATAATGACTTCAAAATCCTATTGTTCATGTAATCAATACTCTGGAAAAGATGGCATAGAAAATAAAAGGAAAGAAAATGAGATAACAAAAACCAAACAATAAAAAAAAAACACACTTAATTCCAGAGCCTACTGCCCATCTGCAAAGCTGCCAATGCTGCCATTATTACATACGACTGTCCTGCAACAACCACTATAGTCACCAGTGTGATAACCACTACCAGTATCATCATTCATCAATGGCAAAGTCACCACATTACAGCCACATCCATCATGGTACCATTGTCATTGACTCATTGTTTCCATATTACCGTGGAGAGCACGTGCATTGAAACCAAGCTCAGTAAACCCGTTTTCGCTACTGCCCACACAACTAACACTACCATTGCTGGCACTGCATTGCCCACACCACAGGCTAACCCCATGAGACCAAATGCACTGCCATGAATGTGGCACCCAAGACACCACCAAAACCTTATCACCACGGTTAGTGCTTGAACCATTGATGCTCAACCCATAGATACTAGGATTGTGGATACCCTTTGCATCCTTCAAACTGGGGTCACAACACAAAATGAGGTGGGTTCGCGATTTAGATCGCCTAAATTTCCGATCCCAAATTGTAACTCATTCCCAAATAAACCCCCAATTTAGCTAATTATAAATTATACTCCTAACTCCAAATTGTTACCCTTTCTTATTTTGATGATCTTTAAACATTTTGATTGGGTGTTGTCTTGGATTAGGATTCACTTTGAAACTTTTGTCAGAAATATAAAATAACTACTAGCTAACTATGTGTATATGGGTATATAATTTTATGGGTATGCATTTAATAAAAACGATCCGGATAAGAGTTACAAATTAAACCACGACCCAAAATAATGTACCACCAGAGCACACTCACATCGCATCGCGTATAGGAAAAATTATCGTACCGCATTCCATACCCATAAGAAGTAACAAATCGACCTAGGGTTCTCCCGAAACGTCATAACCGTAGAGGGTCATGGTCGCAATGCCCCTTTGAGTACACACTAGGATGCCCCTCCGCTCACAGAACCCCTTCGAGTACACACTAGAATGCTCACTCAAGAAACATCGCATAGTTTCAACTCTCTAGCCGCCAATCCAAATGTCCCAACATCCCATATGTTGATTCGGACCATTAACCCCTTCTACCTTAGGAGTTCTTCTGGATCCTAGTCAAGTACAAACTTGGGGATAGTGAACCATACATTGGGAGACCTCTTCAAGCAAACTAAAGCTTCAAAGTCAAGCCCGAGGCCGAGGTTGACATTTATGCTTGCCCGCCCCTGTTGTTCAGTTTTCCCTTGAGTAGGGTCATATTTTCTTATCTCAAGGAGGCGACCTCTCCTCTTGATCCCTTGAGCCAATAAAACAATTATATATCATGTGATAGGAATATACAAATGATATACTCTTCGGTAGTCACAGGATCCTGCCTATATGCCTTTACCTCCACGACAGACTGGCTAAGTCACTCCAGGATTATGCCCAGTTGCTCGCGGTACCACTCCTACCCTTTTGCACAAGGATCCATTTATCATTTCTGTGGTGATATACTCGCAGTTTCACTCTCGTCTTTTGAACTATGATCCATTCATACTTCCGCAAGGGAGGATTGATTATTTGTCACTAAGTTAACTTCAATGCGGCCAATGGTGCTCTTGCCCCTTTGGACAAAGATCAAGGAAGGGTATGAGCTTGCCATATCAGCTACCCCCTGAATCTCGTGATGTTGCTCTTGTCTTGTAGACAAGGATCTTGTACTCCATGGATGTGTGCTTGCCATGTCATGCTCCACTATGAGTCTCACGATGAAGGGTGGACTTTGTCTCACTACGCCACCTTCTGTTCCCACGACACCACTCTTATCTTGAGGGCAAGGCCACCATTGTTCAAGGAAAGATGTGATTTTGCCACATCAGGTTGCCCCTTGCTCCTTGGAATGCCATGTGTCCACTAGTGAGATGACCACGTGTCCAAATTTTATGGGCTACTACACACATAAGTAGTACTAAGAAAGTTAAAAACAAAACCATGGATTTTTGGTGTTAAGGATCAGCTCAACCACAACATTGAGAACAGATATTCCTTATGTTCAATGTTGAAGAACATGACTCATAAAGGGATTTGAGATTAAACTTCAAAGAAGCATATATAGGCAATAAATCTAGATCTAGGACAACCATAATAAAGAAATGCTACATTCAATAGAGACAAGAAACAAATCAAAAGACAATAATATAGTCAAAATATTTGCAGGGAACAAAACTGCGCAAGAAACTAGATTAAACAAGGATTATCTGATTTATCATGGGCATTTACCTATAACCAGATTGGTTCATAACAACACGGTTTCATTTAGCCAAGAACATGGCAGGCTCCACGGCCCGACGGTGTCGAGAAGTAATACCAATGCATAATGCTATTGTAATCACCAAAGCAAACAAGACAACTATAGTTCCGGTAAAATGTTCACAAAGAATCACTCGCTATTAACTATCTTACAAATATTTCTCTTCTACAGTATGTTGGTGAATAAAATCGGCAAAAAAATTACAATTCTTGTTTTTTACCACAAATTAAACTTTTAGATATGGTCATACTCAAATCATCTATATTTGCCAAATCCTATAAGAACATAAAAACTAAAAATACTAGTGGCTCCGGAAATGACTTGACATAAGTACTCAAATCGTCCAATCATAATCCATATATCTCATTACTAACCAAGGAGAACATAACTTTGGAAATATATTTCAAAAGGCATATATACAAATAGAGGATATTCACTCCAACAGCTTACATATATTACACAAGGTTTTGAATTCTCTAAAGAGAATATCGTGTCTTTTAGAAATTCATCCATTTAGTAAAAGACAGAAATTGATATTTGTTATTTCCAAAATTTTACACAAAAAGTCTCCCTCAAATAGTAAAGAGCTAAAGGTGCATAAAGAAACTGAACACCCTCTCAATATCTCACACAAAAATATGGATGTAGATCTTCACATTTATTTTGTGCCATGGATTATGCTTTCGCTATTTGATAAGAAAATCTTATATCTAATTCACTAACAGGAATTTTATATTAATGAAACAAACTTGTCAATAATGAGCCTTTTTACAAGCAAAATGTAGCAACCATACATAACAATAATAATTCCTCTTTATCCTCCCAATCCCTCTTGTTTTAGTAAAAAAGTCATGTATTCTTCTATTTTAAGAAAAATTTAACACTTAAACATGAGTAGTCTTTCTATGACATAAGATAGTCATGCCAAATTTCCAAGTTTTGATAATCATAAATGGCTCATTTTATCGTGACGTTCGTTTGAATTCTCAAAATTTATGTCGCTTATGAAGCACGGATATGGATACGAGTGTTGTATCCAATACGATACGGACACAGAAATACAGCAAAATTCAAAAATATAGGACCAGGCTATTAAAATAATATAATATATTTTGTAGATAATAATAGAGCTATAATATATTAAAAATAAAGCAAATAATATAACAATATTAATAATAAGACCTAGCAAATATTAATTTCTTCATTAAAATTGAAATAGAACAAATAAATATCCACAATTTTCTTCAAACATCCTTACATTTATTAATACTCATAATATAAAAGTTACATACCAAAAAAAATATTAGCAATTATTTTTTTTTTTTTAATTCCAAGTCATGTCTTGGTTGTGTCCTAGTCGTGTCTTGACTGTGTCTGATTGTGGCCATAACACCCATCCAAGAAGCATCTATGCCTATTAGACTGTCGCTTCATCCGCACAGGGATAGAGAACCCATGGCTCTCTCTACTGTGCTTTCTTGCAACAGTTCAAGAAATGTTGGCCACAAGTCTTTCTAGAAATTAATATATCTCAATCACACAGCCAAAATTGCATAAAACAGATCTCCAAGAGGATCCGAGAAGTGTCATCTATCCAATGCATGTCTAACACATCACTTTCTTAAAAGTGTTTGAGCTAAATAACAGAATCCCAGCACAAGATAACTAGTTCCGGTCATCAAAAAATGCTGCAGTTTAAACAATGCACTTGATGGCATAACCAATCAAGACATCTAATACAACCAATACGAAGTGTTCCTTTTCAACCCAATCAGAATGAATGTTGGTATTGCGCTTGCATCCAAAAGCAGGGTATTCTATTGATATTATGTATTTTCATTTATTCGAATAATGAGTCGCTACCCGATGTCGGATCCCGTAGGAAGGGGTAACCTTGTCTTTACGTGTTTCTTAACATCACTTGTTGTTGATGACACAAATAAATTTGATTTATCCAACATATGCTGCTTCATTTCCAACCAAAGCCAAAAATAAAAAATAAAATAAGACACAAATCCTCATTTACTAACCAGAAAAATTCTAGCTCCCTGCAATCCTCACCAGCTAAGTTTCCAGAAAACATAAAACCCATACAAGCTAAGACTAGAAAATGTATTAGGCGAGATTGAAGATGTTTTGTCTTCTCTTTGCTGGCCTCCCACATAAAAAATTCAAGATTCACAAACTAAGTTTCTGATAAATCTAATGTTTTCTCACCGCCTATTAAATAACTACCTAATGTCTACTAAAATTTATCTTCACAAAATCTCTCAACAAATATAATTAATTTATAAGGGTATAATCATTACAAGAAATCAAAACTGCACAAAAATTCTCACATGCTTTACACAAACATTCCAGCACAAGTTGCAAAGTTCACCAAAATGTTTGCGTACAAATGAATTATATAGCCGATTTACACACATGCAAGCATGTATTAGAAAAGGAAAAAAATTAAGTAAAGCAGCCCACCTAGTACATTAGATGCCTTAAATGTGAATAGTATACGCACCAAATAGTCATATGGCAGCAGAAAAAGCATGTGTAGATGAAAACTGAGAGTAACCCTGAGAAGACTCTTCAAATCCATGAAAGAACACTTTTCATTACTGGATCTGTCATTTTAAAACTCAACTGTTTGTATCTTTTTTTTTATCGCACAACTATTTGTATCTTAAGAATATCATTATCGGAACTAGTGATACTTCTGCAGAAATTCCCAATACATCAACTGCATAAATGAACCTCAAAAAAGTACGTTGTTAAGCAGACCTGCCCCCAAGATCAAGAACAAATGAATATATCAAAAAATCCAAACCACATTAGTTTTGAAAACACGTCAGGTTCCAGGATAAAAACAAAGTAGAGTAACTTCCTATGATCCAGTGCTTTTACCAAAGAAGTGGTCCAGAAAGACCCCTCCTGATCCAACGATCTTAAAATAAATGGGAAAAAAAGAAATCTACGGCCATTCTATGCATGAACAAAAAACCCCAGCCACACAACAGTTAATTTTGGGAGATTGGAGAAGAAACTGAAGAAAATGTCAAATTCCATTAGCCTGAGCTTGTCTACTAATAATGACATGTACCTCTAACTGCCGCAGAGTGTCAATGAGAAGCCAATGCTTCTGCTTAAGCAATACAAGTTGATTCTGCAGTGCTGCAAACTCGTTCCTCATGATCTGCTCACAGTCCAGGATGGCTGCCTCACTCGTACCCTCTTCCAACAACCGCTGCCTTAATTTTTCTGTTGACACAAAAACATTTTCCAAAGGAGCCATTAATTCACTGTTGGACATTCTAGGGAACATGTCCTTAACAGCCTGCAATGCGTCCATCCATGCCATTCTATCTTCCCGCGTGTCGGCCCTTAAATGTAGCCTCTTTGTTCCAGTAAAAATTGAAAATCTTTTGTCATCCGATCTGCTCTCACGGATTGATGAAACCTAGAACAGGCAGTTCATTATGTTTTAGATTTGTGAAGAACTATTAAAATGCATGACAAAGTGATAAGAAATAAATCAGTTACAAACCAAAAAGCAAAAAAGCATTGACATAGCAAAAGTTGTGATCGTCTGATATGAGGAACACATATTCAAATGATGACTGGAAACAAAAACTTTCATTTATAACAGGTCTAATAATTATTATAAGTAAAACAAATGAAAAGACCATTGAAACCACCTAATCATGATTAGGCTAGAAACTAAAGCACAGATTGAATTTGTCAGTATTATTCAATAGAAGTCTCATCACAATTGAATGGAAACAAAGTAAATTTTCATCCTTCTAGTAGAAGGAAAGCCTGAAATAAATCCAAGTCAATTAAATATATATTTTCAAATTGACCCAACTTAGCATCGAAATTAAATAAGCGGATTTAGATAATTTTCAATTTTTAACTAAAAAAAAAGAGCTTATAATAATTTATTGAAACAGAAATCAAATCATATTAAGCCCAAAGCATACAAAATCTTTTTCTCTGCATGAATAGAATAGATATAGACACTCAACAATCTGAAGGAAAAAAAAAAGCAACATATTTCATTTTGCTGTAAATAAATATTGTGATCAAATTGAATGAGTACTGCAAACAATAATCAAATCAAATTAGGCAAATACATATAAGTGTATAGATACATAGACATCTGCATATGCATACACACGCACATACAATACATACATACATACAGAGAGAGAAGGAGAGAGTTTTGGTCAGACCTTGAGATGAACTTCGCCAACAGGATTGCGACGGACCTGGGAGCTCCGATTCTTACACCTGGAAATCCTTCTCAAGGACTCCTCGCCAATAACTCTGCTCCCCTTCTCGGTCTCTTGGTTCACCACAATCTTATCAGGCCCATGGATCTTATAATAGGAAAGTACACCATCTTGCAAAACAAACCACCTGGGCCTCCAACCCTTGCCGTAATTCACCCACTTATTCAAAATCCCCGATATCCCATTCCCTACAATATCGTTTATTTTCACTTCTCTTTGGTCTCCACCGCATACCAATTGCGTTGCCTCTCTCATCGACGGTCCCCGAGACAACGATTCGGCCATGGTCACATGTTTGTGGCCGTGATTGTGATCTTGATGATTGTTATTGGTCTTAAGGGGCTCGGATTTGGTATTGGTGGAGGTCAGCGGCGGTGGTGGTGGCGACGCCATGGTTGGGATTTCTGGAAGCTTGGTTGCGCTACGATCGTGAATCGTTGATACGCAGCAGAATGCAAGCATAGTTACATAGCTTGATTTATCATCGAGGATTGGATTGGGGAGGATGAAGTTGAATGCAATTAAGAGTTTGCATTTTAATGTGAGAGAGAGAGAGAGTCTGGTCGCGGTAAGGCGTGACTTTTTATAGGGAGGATATATGTGTGTATATTTATATATATATACATAGAGAGAGAGAGAGAGAGAGAGAGAGAGAGAGAGAGTTTTCAGGGAACACGGAATTGGGGAAGGGCTACACGGAGAGGAAAGAATTTTCCGGCGGTGGGGGTGGCGGAATAGTCAACACGCGGTAGCGAAACGACTCCCACTTGTATGTTGGAGTACTACTTGTTGGGTGGGAGGTTTTAAATGTGAAGCGGTTGGGCTCGTATTGGTTACAGCAGCAATAACTCTGCTCAAGACACCCTAAAATATTAAAAATTAAACATTTATATAGTATAATTTTTATATTTTACATAGTAATTTATTTTTTAAAATTAAAATAGAGAGGCAAAATATGAGATATGTGGAAAAGAGAAAAGAAAGAGATAAATATGGATTAGTGACTTTGTTTTATATTGGAGTGTGTCGGTTAAGTTATTTGATATTACGAGCGTGTAGAGGAGATAATGTTTTTAAATTATAATTTTTTTTTAAATTAATTTATACTCTAAAATAGAATTAAATGAAAATTAAATAAATTTTAATTGTTGCTATACTTTTTCCAAATGTACAATTCAAATTATTAAATGTAATATTAGATAAATGATGAGTTTGTATTGGTATATAATGGGTTTGCGGCTAATCTATTGTAGAGATCTTATCAGATGACTAGTCATTATACGTATTTGAAGGCACTCTATAATTCATAAAAAATCGCAAATAATTGTCCATCTTAAAAAAGAAAGTGGATCAAAAACATTCATATCAATTCTTTTAAAATAATCCGAAATATATTGTCGATCATATCTTTCATATTAATAGAATTACCAAAAATGTATAAAAAAAATTTCCCAAAACAATATCACATATACAAATACATCGAAAAAAAATACTAATGAAATCTAATAACATTTATAATTTTTAAGTAATATTAAATCTTACTCATTTATAAGGTGTATGAATTTATCACCATTCAACCGAATAACACAATATAATTATAAATTCAATTACTTATTATTTTTTTATTGCTATTAGCTTGGGCTTTGAATTTTATTTTTTTTTGTTTTTTTGATGCAATTGGTATCACTTATTATTTTTTTATTGGTGATTAGCTTGGCTTTGATTTTTTTTTTTTATAGTGCAACTTGACTTTGCATGTCTACAACTTGGAATTTTTTTTTTTAGCATTCAAAATTTTTTTCTTTCTATAAAATTACTCAAATATTTAACTTTGTCATTTTTTTTCCAGTGATTAGCTTTAGTTTGAATGTCTACAACTTGGGAAAAAAAATTATAGTTGGTTTTGAATATTATTTTTTGGTGCAATTGGTTTCATTTATTTTTTTTATTGGCAATTAGTTTGGTTTTGAATTTTTTTTTTTTTGTGCAATTGGTATCACTTATTATTTTTTTATTGGTGATTAGCTTGGTTTTGAATTTTTACATTTTTGTGATTAGTTTGGTTGTGAATGTCTATGAATTTTTTTTAACATTTAAATTTTTTTTCTTCTATAAAATCATACAAATGTATAACTAAAAAGTACCGAAAATAGCAATAGCCTATTTCACACATAACATTTAACAACAATAAAATCATGTCAAAACTGCAAATTTTGAATTAAAAAGTACTGAAAATAACAATACACATTTAACACATAACATTTACTAACAAAAAAATGGTGATGGTGATTAGATTAATATAAATCATATTTAAATCCGAAATTTAATACAAAATTTAAATTCGAAGAAATTAAATGTCAATTGATTGATATTCCTGAATTAAATTCAAAGGAGAGATTGGGGAATAAAAATTTCTGTAAAATAAATTTTTCTTAAATGTGAGGCCTATAAAACTATTTTTGTCTTTTGAATTCCTTTTTTCTCAAACTGTTGCTGTCTCCCCTCTGTTTCTGGCTCGCTACCATGGATGTTCTCTGTCCCACAGCTCTCTGGGATCAATATTGAACAATCTCAAATACCCATAAGGCCACGTGTCCTATTGGGTCATTTTATAATCTCTAATTCTCCGAGGATTATTTCACACTATGGAAATATCAATCCCTAGTCTATGATCACTGGTTACTCCTTTTTTTTCTCTCTCTCTCTCTCTCTCTCTCTCCATAATAGAAATGCATATGAATATTTATATATTTGCATGTATACACAGATTGGGGCCATTTGAAGCTTTTCTTCCGGTGAGAGAAGAATTGGATGTGGGTCTAGCCAGTTTTCATAGAAAGCTATAAATTGCATTTGTAATAAGTTTATTGCCTCTGTTTTTGGTCTACTTATTTACCCTCATACATAGTTTGATAACAGTAAAAGATAGTGAATGAAAAACCCTCATACAGAGTTCTACTTATATACCCCTCTCTCGCAGGGTTTTAATAATCGAAATGGAAGAGGAGTCCACCAAGAGGCAGTTCTGTGAGAAGGCGAAGATGTTGTTCCAAAATCAAATTTAGAAATACTTAATAAAAATAATAGATTACATTGTACAAAATCGAGTTGCTGTCAGATATAGGCAAGCTACTTCGATAATACAAAGTTCGATTAAGCACAGTTCACAGGAGACAAAAAATGAACACACAGGCACACAAAAAATCCATAACACAGAGAAAGAGAAAGCGAGATAGAGAGAGAGGGAGATAATTTACGAAAACCAGAACACAAAGACACAACAAACCCAGAATACACACTCACACAAAAAACCCAGAATACCTAGACTCTTGGTGTTGCTTGTTGCAGTGGGTGTTACTCCGATGTGCTGTGTGTTGCAGGGGGCAAGGTAAAGACAGAGAGGAAGGGGAGAGAGAGGGGTATCGTGAGATAGTTAGACTTGCTAGAGGTCTGTGGGTGAGTTAGCAATTGAAATAAGGGATTAGATAAGTTATTTGTTTTTAAAAATGAGAGAGAGTCAGAGGAGGAGTCTCGATAGATAGAATTAGATAGGCTATTTGTTTTAAAAAATGAGAAAGAGTTAGAGGAGGAGTCTGGCCAGATAGAATTAAATAGGTTATTGGTGTTTTTAAAATGAGAAAGAGTTAGAGGAGGATTAGATAGATTATTTATTTTTAAAAATGAGAAATAGTTAGAGGAGGAGTCTGACCAAATAGGATTAGATAGGTAATTTGTTTTTAAAAATGAGAAGGGAGTTAGAAGAGGAGTCTCGGCAGATAAGATTTTTTTTAAAATGACTATGATAAGGACCGTTAGATCAAAAATTGTGAAGTAATCTAAGCCGCGAAAAACTCAAGACAAACATTTCTAACTACTTTATTATATAAATTTTGCTCATAATTTTGTGAACAATATTATACAATGTAAAAGCTTATCTAATTTCATGTTATATTATTTAATATAATTTGACCGTTATGTTAATCTAGTTAAGTTTGTTTTTAAGAGGAGTAATAGACACAGTTAGTACATCATAATTCCACCAGTGAAACACTATTAGAGTGGTCTCTGAACGCTCTCATTTGTCCCATTTTTTTTTTCAAAATAAAAATAATATTATTTTATACATTTTGAATTAAATTACGTTTTTCACACATAATGAAAATCTGAATTCTATTTTAGATTGTTAATATTGAAGAGGTAAATTCAATGAATTGGTATAGAGGTAAAACGTAATTATACTCAATCCTTGTGGAAACTACAATTTATTTGGATGATAAACCCTGTTATTTTGTTAAGATTTTGGTTAAACTTGATTAAAATTAAATTAGTAACAAATCAAATGCAATAGAGAAAGGGATATAAAAAGGAGCAAAAGTTTGGTGCTGCCATTGGTTGGTGTATGTGTTGTTTGGTGCATAGGGATTTTAAATTTTTTTATTAAATATAGTTTGCCAAATCCGGGGGGATCCTTTTTTTGATTTGGTCAATCCCTCGTTGATTATTTTTAGTTCTCATTGGGTCCCCCTAAAAAAAAATTTAGACATAATTATAAACATTTAGACACATTTTTGGGTACGTTTTAACTAGTGCGCTTACTCAAAAAACACTAATTTAACCGTAGAGATTATAGAAACTTGATTAAGTAATCAAATCGATGATAAGATGATGGCCGATAGTATGATACTTGTATATAACAAATGACATTTTTAATGGAATTTATAACAAAATCATCATGTAACATTTTCAAGTGATAAAAAATGTATTGGGGCTAATTGAAAATGAATATAATTAAATCATTTTTTTGTAAAAAATAAAAATTATTTATTTATTTATTTGTTTGTATGCATTATGTAAACTAATTTTGGCCCTGTTATGTTGAATAATTTTAATTTGTGCCAAAATAAATATAAATGCATGATTTTACTTGGCAAAAAAAATCTAAAGCTTGTTATAGTGCCCACTCAAAACTATTTTTCTAACTCCGTTCCTGTTCTTACCACTTAAAAAAGATTAAGGTAAAATAATGAAATTAGTAATATTCATTATTGGTCATTTTACCGAATTTATGTACAAAACTAATTCAAATTTTTGAAAAAAAAAAAAAAGAAAGAAAGAAAATGGAGTACATAAAAGGTGCTTTGTGTAATTTAACCCATTTGAAATTACAAGATTTTCCAGTCCCATTTTGTTGGTTTTATTGGTGCGAACTAGTGTAGGGAGTTTGTTTTCTCACGTAGAGGGAGCCGCCGCTCGCCGGCTTCGTGAGAGAGTGACAGGTGGATGATGGATATAGGGCAACGTGGCACAAAGGCTGTAGGGCGCCTGTAAGGGAGTGAGCCGAACTTTGCTGGGTCCCTAGGTTTTCACGTTTTATAAATGATTTTCTTTAGAGA